GGAAGGAAGGAAGGAAGGAAGGAAGGAAGGAAGGAAGGAAGGAAGGAAGGAAGGAAGGAAGGAAGGAAGGAAAATCCTGACTAGCTGTCCATCTAATGGATTGGAATTTAATGGAAGAAGAGATTCAATACAAATCCAGATGCCACAGATTAATCTGCGCTTCCCCCCACTTTTTTTTTTGTAGGTCAACTTATTACATTCAAATTGATCTGCTTTCAGGCAGAGGAAACATCTGAGCGCTGTATTCACAAATAAAGCAGGGGCTACTTTGGATGAGGGCCTCTAATGGTAATCTTGACCTGGTGTCTGAACCCACAATATTTTCACCCCTGTGTGAAAAAGGGGTTAAAGAGGAAAATGAGACACTCTGCAGGTAAGACGTAGCATTCTCTCTCTGTGATCAGGAACACAAATTAGATTTGTTTGTGGACTGTGGCCCCATATCCTTTGGGGGAAGACTAAACTTTTTCTCCAAAACAGCCACAGCATTTTTAATCTCATCCTTGCTATCAGTTCAATCCACCCAAAAGCATTTTCACAGAACCCATTTTGCATACAGGGTTATGGCTGTATCAAAATAGTGCCAGTCATGGAAAGAGGGGGAGGGAGGGAGGGAAGGAAAAAAGGAAGGAAAGAAAGATTGGGAGGGAGGAAAGATTGGGAGGGAGGGAGGAAAGGAAGGAAGGAAAGATTGGGAGGGAGGGAGGGAAAGAGAGAAGGAGGAAGGAAGGAAGGAAGGAAGGAAAGATTGGGAGGGAGGGAGAGAGAGAAGGAAGAAAGAAGGAAGGAAGGAAAGATTGGGAGGGAGGGAGAGGGGAAAGAAGGAAGGAAGGAAGGAAGGAAAGATTGAGAGGGAGGGAGAGAGAAGGAGGAAAGAAAGATTGGGAGGGAGGGAGAGAGGAAAGAAGGAAGGAAGGAAGGAAGGAAGGAAGGAAGGAAGGAAGGAAGGAAGGAAGGAAGGAAGGAAGGGTCTAAAACAGCCAAAATGGAAGTGCTGCAAATTGCCTTCTGAAGATCATGTCTGGAGGAAACCTTGAGATGGATTGCTGTGAATTTAATTTGCTTCCATTAAACCTATTTATATGTTATATATTTAATATTATATCATTTTGCTTTGATTTTGTTGCTGGTGTTCTCATGGAAGCCACTGATAATCCTTCAGGGCTTCAATGATACATAAACCTTACAAATAACGATAACAAGCAGTAGGTTAAACAGCGAGCTAAAAGTCAGTAAAAAAAAGAAACGGTGAGCGAAACCTCAGACAAATCACACAGAATCATCAGACTGGGAACCATATTTCGATATCAAGAAATATGAAGCAGAACCTGGAGTTTGCAGAAAGACCGATAGGGGAAAGCTGTAAAAACGTAGAAGGGAAGGGCGGAAGAGAGGCACGGATCCCACAAAGGGGCACCAAGAAAAGGGACCTTGCAGGGGGAAAGGGGAGGTCAGCCCTTCCAAGCTCAACTTTTAGCCCTCTCCCGTGGAATCCAGGAGGGGGATTTGCCAAGCCAGTGCAAGAGGAGGGGAGGGAGACAAGGCAGGCTTCTCTGACTGCAGGCGCAGAAGCTGAGCCTAAAGCCGAAAGCAGCACAAAGACACGTGGAGGAGCTACTGAGGAACAGACACCGGGAACTATGGGACAAAGCTACACACAACTCTCTTCCTTTGACCTGGTCAAGGAGGAAGAGGAGGAGACAGACAGGACGACAGCTCGCTTCAAAAGAGGACCGGAGCGGGGGGGGGGGGAGGCGCGAGGCTGAACTTACTCATCTTTTTACACACTGCCATACAATATTCCTCTGACTCAAAATTGTTTCGGTTGCCTCCGCAGCCTCCATATATAAAGCGAATGCACTTTTTCTTGTACATGTCGAAGTACCAACGAGGCATCACGGCCCGGCAGGGACCAGTCATCGCCTCCTGGGAGCAGACAGCTGTGTGGAGATGGTTAAAGCATCAGCTGGGGGCAAGCAGAAGCTCGGCTAAGCTAGTTCAACATCAACGCGGGGGGCAATTTAGGTCAATCTCGGGTGGACGTTCAACCTGGAGCTCTGGAGACCTCTTCCTCCTTTCCTGGTGGGTTTCGACTTGGCTCTGGTTCTCACTCAACCTTTATTTCTCGAAAAAGTTAGGGTGGAAGGAGTTGGCAGAGCAGATCTGAGGCAAGGCAGCCTTACTGTCTCAGCGTAGCCATTCGGTTCCCACGCAAAGCTTTTTTTATATGCGGGAGGACAGGCTGCATGCCATGGTTTGTCAGTTGAGATTGGAAAGCCATGTGTCTGAAAAGGGATCGGGTTTCCTGCTTGAGCAGGGGGTTGGACTAGAGGACCTCCCAGGTCCTCTCCAACTCTTGTTATTCTGCATCTGATTCTCAACCAAGGGCAAGCTGGAGACCCCTTCGATCATCTTTCTAAAACCGAGCTTTTCATTTTCAAAAACTCTCTTAAGACAGGGGTATCAAACGCAAGGCCCGTGGGCCGGATTCAGCCGGCGATGTGGTTGGATCCGGCCCATAAGGGTCGTCCTGGAAAATCTAAGGGGCTGGCCCAGTCTACCCGTGTCGCTTTGGGCTGGTCCACCCAATGCAAAGAGGAAACATCTCAGCACTTTGGAAAGTGGTGTCAAGCTGGCCATGCCCAGTGAGTGGCAGCAAGCTGGCCAAGCCCCACCCCACCCCAGGCCAGGGCCCTCCCCCAAGGTCAACCACAGCCCTGATGTGGCCCTAAATGAAATTGAGTTTGACACAAGGGTGAAATTCAGCAGGTTCTGGAGAACTGGTAGTGGAAATTTTGAGTAGTTCAGAGGAGAAACAGGAAATGCCACCTCTGGCTGGCCCCGCCCCATCTATTCTCTGCCTCCCAAGTCCCAGCTGATCAGGTGGAAATGGGGATTTTGCAGTATCCTTCCCCTGCCACACCAACCAAGCTACGCCCACAGAACTGGTAGTAAAAAAAATTGAATTGGCTTTCACACCCCTGCTCTAAGATATTTACCACCTCTATCTGCCACAGCAATGATTTCTTTACAAAAAAAAATCATGTGATTTGGAGACCAGAATGCCATNCACATGACTGCCAAGCCTTGCCCACAAAATAGGCCACACCCACAGAATAGGTTCTAAAAAAATTTGAAGCCCACCACTGCTCCACATGTACAGGTATCTTTAGCCATCAGTACACATGAAGCTTTTTAAATTCTGGAAAAAATAGCTAATGGTGGATTTTGCTAACTCTGGTTAAATGTACTGATTTCATTATTCGGAAAATCAAAGCATAGAAAAAGCTGAGTTAGAAAATGGCTTCCAAGTTCCATTCATCCCTCTCACACTTTTCTCCTGAAAAGTTGTCAACAGAACCTTTGTTCTAATGGGAGGAAAAAAAAGGAAGCACATATTGTCCTTGGCATTTTCTATTGATACAGAAATAATAGCATCCTGTTTCACATAATGTACTGACTCAAGAGGAACTAGGAGTCTCTTCGGGCAGAATAAACAGGCAGCTGAAACATCAACAGCAAGATACTCTTAATGCATTTTCTGCACTGGACCCTGGCCATTTCAGCTAAGGGCGAAAGAGACTTCATTGCATGTGTAAAGAAGAGACTTGGAACATTTTAAGAAAGTGGACTGTGGCATAAATAGCCAAAGGGATCTTTTGTGACTTACAGCAGCCTTTCCAATCTGGCTCTCTCCTGTTGTGATGGGACTAATTCTCCCTCAAGCTAAGTTCAACTCTTTGAGTTTTTGTGACAATAGTACAGAGGTGGTGGTCCTTTTCCTTCTTTGGGGTTATTTTTCCTTCCCAGTCTATATATTACTGAAACTCTCATGTGTGAAAGCATGAACAGTGTATCCTAGGGCAAAACTTTTTCAACCAAGATACTTCAAATGGACTAATTTATAGAATGCTGGGACTCATGACTTTGAGGAATGAAATTTGAGGAAGTTGTCACTGTTTCACAGTTCCCAGGCTGCTTCAGTCCTACAACTGCACTGCCACAGTCAGCCATAGTCACGTGATCCTCTTTTTCGGCATTCCCTAACAGCTTCCCACAAATCTATGGCAGCATCAAGTCCTCTTTGCTCACAATCCATTCCCCTGCTCCCTCTCCCACCTGGCAGCAGTCATTTACCTGAAGGGGAAGGAAGGGGGAGAGAGAGGGGGAAAGAGAGAGAGAGAGAGGAGGAGGAGGAACAGGGAGGAGGAAAGAAAGCAGGAAGAAGAGGGAGGGAGGGAGGAGCAGGGAGAGAAGGAGGAAGTGAAGTAGGGAGTAAAGAAGGAAAAGACAAAGGAAGAGAGGAAGGAAGGAACAGAGAGGAAGAAAAGAAGTTTTCTGACACTTACTGCCAAAGAGGAAAGCTGACAGGAAGTTGGAAGTTTCTCCTGCTCCCACTGACTTTTTTGCCCTCCCTGACCATTCTGTTTTTCTGGTTGGATAAGAAAATATTTATTTATTAAACAGATTTTTATAGCCTCCCAATTCACACACAACAGCAATGTTTTTGAAATGATGACCCAGCAGGGCACATATTGTCTAGTCAAGTCAAATACCCTGAGATTTCCTGGTAGATGATTACAGTTAATAATCCTAGGTATACATTTATACCTGGTCCAAAGTAAATTGAAAAACATTCATCAAAGTGACACAGAACGCAAGAGAGGCCAATTAGGCAGATCCTAAACAAATACAACCTTTAGTGAAGCAAAAACAAGGTTCATTCTGGATTCATTAAGACTCTTCTTCTCAGTGACCTAGATTTGAATAATCTACATTTTACTACTCATCGGATCTTTATCCATTGTGAAACATTCAGCTGTTTACTCTTTTATAATAATCCTGTTTGTGTCAACTCAAAGACTCGATAAAGGATGCTAAGTGAAAACAGATCTTTGCAAAACTGTGAGTGTCCCTAAGGCATTTCTTTTGCTTTTGTGCTACAGAAAATTATCATAGCAATGGTAGAGATTCAAGAGAACAAACAAAATCCATTTACAATAACATTGATTTGGCCAAAAAAAAAACCCCACCCCCTCATGAGGATTATTATCATAAATTCAATAAAAGTTAGTTTCTTGGAAGGAGCATCAGAAAGATCATGGTACATCTCTTGTTTGTGGGATATTTGCTATGAAGTCCTAACACTGTGGAACTAGATTGTTTGAATCCATTTGTTACTATCTTATTTCCTGGTTTTTATGAAGAATAATTGAAAGGAAATGCAGCAACTAAGAAAACATATGACACATTGAATTATTCTCTGAAGCATTGGTGATGCAAGAAAATTGGTATCCTTCACAACAGCAAGTGTTCAATATTTGGAAAAATATTGCCCAAGACTAAAAATAGAAAGGATTTCCTGTACAATAATTCTCTTCCCCATTCTCCAGTCTGTGATGACTACAATTTACGTGTGAGTGTGCGTGAGAAAAAGAAAAGACATTCATACTGCCTATCTCTGCAAGCAGGCATGCATTTTAAATATTCTGGTAGTTTGCCCTTCTCCAACAAGCTGCTGTGGATATCCTATCTCAGTGTGCAAGCTATTGGAGACTGGATGGGGGTCAAACAGACTCAACTCTAGCAAGATGGAGTGGCTGTGGGTATTTGGATCTCCCAGAGACACGTTTTTCCCATCTCTAATTCTGGATGGGGTTGCACTGCCACAAATAGACCTGGTATACAATCTGGGAGTCCTCCTGGACTTGGGGCTCTTGCTCAAAGAGCAGGTGGAAGGCGTGGCTAGGAGGGCCTTTGCACATCTTCAGATGGTGCGCCAGTTGCACCCACACCTGGACCGGGAGACCCTGCTTACAGTAACTCATGGCCTTGTAACTAGGTAAGACTATTCTAACATGGTCTACATAGGGCTGCCCCTGAAGACCATTCAGAAATTTCAACTGGTGCAGAAACTGGTAGTAAATGGTGCCAGATACAAGGCACATGTAACACCTCTTCTGTTTGAGTTGCACTGATTACTGATGCCTTGGGATTGGAGTATCTGAAACGTCACTTTTTTCTAAGAGTCTCTATCCATCCAATTAGATCCAGCAGAATTGTATGTTGCAGATCCTATCACCCAAAGATGGTGGAGACCAGAAGATGAGTTTTTCCCACAGTGGCCCCTGCTCTATGGAACATCTTCTTTAGGAACATCAGAATGGCTCCAACCCTGTTAGCCTTTCATATTGCCTTAAAAATCTGGCTGTGTTCCTAATGTGACACTGAATGTGTCCTGGCTATATTGCTAATTGTCCATTATCTTGCTCCTATGTTTATTTAATCTAGATGTTTTTAGTGTTTTAAAATGTTTTTAGTATTTTAAATGTAAAATATTTTGTTTAATTATAAGCTGCCCAGACTCATTAATTGAGATGTGCAGGTATAGAACTGGAATTAGAAAGAAAGAAAGAAAGAAAGAAAGAAAGAAAGAAAGAAAGAANCTTTCCGTTGTGGGAAGACCAGCTGGCTGGCGCACCAGAACCTGGCAGAGCAACAGGCGACAGCTCACATGCCCAGAGAGATAGCTCTGCATGCCACTTCTGGCAAGCGTGCCATCACGCATATAGGTAGTTCTCGACTTGCAAACACAACGGTGCCCAAAATTTCTCTTGTTAAGTGAGACAGTTTCGCCCCATCTCAGAAAATGCCTTGCCACGGTCGTAACTGTTAAAATGATAACACGGTCGTTAAGTGAATCTGCCTTCCCCATTGACTTTGTCGGAAGGTCGCAGAAGAGGATCACACAACCCCGGGGCGCCGCAACCATCATCATAAATATGAGTCAGTGGCCAAGGGTCTTAATTTTGATCACGTGACCTCGGGGGTGCTGCAGTGGTTGTTAAGTGTGAAAAGCAGTCATGTCCCTTTTTCCAGTGCCGTTGTAACTTTGAACGTTCAGTAAGCAAACTGTTGTAAGTCAGGGACTACCTGTATATTTTTGGGGGGGCTACTGTAGTGACCCAATTAGCCTATCATGCGAAGAGCTCTGATGTTGTTTATTTGGTTTTGCTGCAGCACACTCAAATTTTTTTTCTTCTGTATGAAGTTTAATTAATGATTGGAGAAGGATGGGCAAACATTAATCTCCCTTCTTGTTTTACAGCATCATCTCTGAATTATTATTTTTTTTCCCTTTCCAGGTAGCCGTGAAGAGCTGCTGGAACGGCTGCAAACATATACTCTTCAGGTGAAACCTTATTTCTTGGATCAGAAAAAAGCAACAGTATTTTGGTGTTGGTGTTGTTTTTTTTACTGTAACTGGCTGGCAAGTCATAGAAAGGAAGGCCAAATCACAGAGGAATATGTGTATACACAACTAGATTCTATAAACCAGAACTATTTTAGTGTAATCCACTCACTTCAGGAAGAAACATCAATTTCGTGTGCTAAGAAAGTAACATTTTGGTAAAGGAGAATCTAGGAAAGTGTACGTTATGTTAGACAGTTGTTAACAAATTACTGCAAATTTGTCGTTAGAAAATAAGTGCAAATTTAACCGGCTTTGTAACTTCTAGATTTTTACGTGCTGAAAATTTGAAACATATCATCCTTCTCTCAGCAACCCTCTTTCCAAGTGGTATCTTCCAGATGTGCTTTGAGAAACAACTGGGCTGCTTCAGATGGGAAAAGATGTAGCATGTTTAGAGTTAAGCCGTAATAATTCCCTGTATGGCATTCTAAACCATCTTACATCCCAGATCAGGGTTTGTCAATCTTGACTTCTTGAAGACGCGTGGACTTCAACCCCCAGAATTCCAGCTTTGCGGGCTGGGGAATTTGAGAGTTGAAGTCTACACATGTTCCAAGGGCCAAGGTTGGAAAACACTGTCCTAGACCAGCTGGTGGTCCCTGGACCACTGGTGGTCTACGAGAAAATTTTGGTGGTCTGCAGAAAAATTATTTGCATCTTTTTCTATTGCACTAAATCAGGGGTCCTAAATCTATGGCCCCTGGGATGGATATGTGCAATGAACACTTGTGTTACTGCAGAGAGTCTCCCCTTTTGGGGTCTTTTTGTGCGGGTCGGAGGGGGGCAGAAATTCCAACTTGGGGTCTGCTTCAGCCTCCTGGTGGGGGGCTTTGGGCGAAGGGTGGAGGGAAGCGCCCCTGGTGGTGAAGAGTCGGAGGGCCTCGTTCCAGTGGGACTGCATCACAGCCTGGAACTGGCTGACCATCTCAACCTGCTGAGCCTCCAGGCGCAGGTACCTGGTCTTGCACTCCCACAGGTCTTCCCTCTGCTTG